TTTAAGGCAAGTTCTTCTTCTATCTCTTTCCCTTTGATTCGTGTTTCTGTACATGCCTAGGAAATTCCAGAATTTATTAAACACATAAAATTAAATAATTATGCATGTTTAATTGGATTAGAACATAGATTTTATGAAATTGGTTCATATTTGTTCTTGTGTTATGAATTGATAAATGCATGATTTTGATTTGATTTCTAGTGTGAATTTTTACATGTTTAAATTATGTATTTTTCATATATGTGGAATGATGGAACGTAGAATGCCTAGGATTCATGAACATTAAATAGGGACTAGGTTTGGATTTAAATAAATTTAAATACACTCAATCATAATGATGCTTGCTATTTGAATGTTTTAAACAAACGAATGGATTTAATCTTTTAAAATGTTTTAGCAATTGAGATTAAATGTGTGGGATGAATTGGATATGGAGAATACTTATTTGATGGTATAATAAAATATCATCATGTATAAGATTCAGTTTGTATATGACATATGATATAGGAAGCTTAAATAAATAATAAGTCATTCCTATTTTGTGATAACTTAATATCATATTATCATAGTTATTTCTGGATTGTTTGATGTATTTTTTTAATCGTTACATCAATTGTTGGATTGTGTAGTTTAATGCACCAATATGGGACGGTGGCATTCTAGGGATGATTAACTTATCAGTTAAGTCCTACCTATTTTATATAAGGGAATGGATAAACTAAAACGTTAAGTCCTACTTATATTCAAATTAGGTCAGCTAAACAAGTTGAATGACTTATGGATGATTAATTTATTATATAAGGGAATGGATTAACTAAAATATTAAGTCCTTCTTATATTCAAGTCAGGTCAGCTAAACAAGTTGAATGACTTATGAACGATTAATTTATACTGGATATGATGGTTACTAGATTATATATATATAAGTATGGTGTCATGATATGAGCTTGAGTCTCAGGATCAATAGTTAGGGAGCGTATATCGTCAGGGATATGTAGCTAGATATAGTGTAGTTGTGTACCGTGATAGGTCTAGGTACTCATGCCCACTATATGTGCATTTTGTATGTTGTCTACTATTCAGGTTGAGACAACCCTATAGTCTAGTGAGGTTCCTTTAGTGTGTGTGTATATATATATACGGACTACTAGTTACTGTTGGATTGACTAGGATGTATACGTGTATCGGATGTCTGCTTGGACTGTAATAGAGTAGAACTTGTTTGTGGGTCTGACCCACCATTATTTCATGTGTTCCTTAAGAGTAGAGGTTGTTCGTGTTAAGCGGGGATCAGTCTACTTCATTCTTCCGATTTTATATAGGAGATTCTTTTATGCTTCGTTCTTCAGTTGTAGACAGTTATTATTGTCACTTGTTCAGATTGGTTTTTAAGGGTTCACACAATATGGATTCCCAACTTGTATTAATGGAGGATTTATTGTATCAAAATGATTTTATTATTAATTGAAATTTATTAAGAGGTTTTATTATTGGATTTTTCTTTTAGTTTTCTTTCAGTAAATTATTTATTCCTAGTTAATCTTTTGTACTCTGTGTTCATTTATTGCCGATTTTGTTTTTTATATCCTCGGGTATTCGGGCGTGGGCCTAGCCAACCCACATTCGGAAATCCGGGGGTATCACAGTCAATTTCAGACATAGAGCTTATTCATGCTGAGTAGAGACAGTTCACATCACTCTTCTGATTCTACGTAGTTTTCTCTTTATGTTTTAGTTTCGGATTATATTTATTTTCAGTTGTTTCAATTAGAATATCATTAGGGGTCCACTAGATGGATTCCCGAGTTGTAATGATATTAAAGGTTTTGGGATTATTTCATTTGGAGGTTTTATTATTTAGTTTCTTTTCTGCTATTTTATTTATTCTTAGTTATTACTTTTGTAATCAAATGTTAGTTTATATACTTGATTGTTTGGTATCCTTCGGATCTGTGCTCGGACTTGATCACCCGTGGCTTTATAATCGAGGGGTATCACACCTCTATAACAAGAGAACCTATTACCACTCCAGATGGCATCAAAGCTAAAACCCTTAGATTTTTCAAGCACCTCCTAGGTGAAAACCCTCTACCCCACCATGGCTAAGAGTCCCTCTCCCCATTCATCACCAAATCCATCCTTCCACAATTTATCCCACTCCTTGAATCAATCCCCTCTGATCTTGAAATCAAACAATATATTTTCTCCATTAGCAAAGAAAAAGCTCCTGGGCCAGATGGATTTAATGCCCATTTCTTCCACCATGCTTGGCCAATTATTAGTGGCACCATCACCAAGGCATTCAAAGAATTCTTCTTGAATGGTAAGCTTCTGAAGGAGTGCAACTCTACTTACATCTCACTGGTTCCTAAGTGCCAAAATCCATCCACCCTCAATGATTTCAGACCAATCAGTTGTTGCAATATAATTTATAAGTGCATTGCCAAGCTCATTGCACTGAAAATGCAGCCAACCCTAGCTCCCACACATAATTTAACCAACCCAAACTGCCTTCATTCACGGAAGGAAAATCACAGACTCAGTCCTTCTTGCCCAAGAGCTAATGAGAGGTTATCGCATCTCTACATCCTCTCCTAGGTGTGCTTGGTAGGTAGACCTCATGAAAGCATTTGACACAGTCAGTTGGTGTTTCATACTTAATTCCCTTACACTATTTGAATACCATGCAAGGCTTGTACAATGGATCAAAGCATGTATAACAACACCTTTTTTCACTGTAGCCATCAATGGTGAGTTCCATGATCACTTCAATAGTGTTAAGGGGCTAAGGCAGGGAGATTCACTGTCCCCTACACTATTTGTTATCTCTATAGAAATTCTGTCGGGAACAATCAAAAGGTATGTCTCTTAAGCCCCCAGGTTCAAATACCACTAGAGATGCAAAGAGGTAAGAATCGCGCACCTCACATTTGCTGATGATCTACTACTTTTTTGCCATACTGATATCACATCCATCTCCAGCATCAAGTCAGCCTTTGACCTCTTCTCCTCAGAATCTGGTTTGGCCATATATCCCACAAAGAGCTCAATAATTTTTTTCTGGCATTAACCACACAAATGAGCTTCTCTTTTCCAACTTTCTTAGTGTTCAAATATGGTCACTCCTCATTAAACACCTTGGAGTCCCCCTCATATCTACTAGCCTCAAGGCTGCAGATTGCAACCTGTTGATTGAAAAAATCACAGCAAGAATACACCACTGGTCCACTAAGAGCCTACCATATGCTGGAAGACTTGTACTCATCAAATCTGTACTCCTATCCACCCAACTATATTTGTCCAGCATTTTCATACTATCAAAAAAAGTGATCAATGACCTCTCTGTCTTGCTTAGGAGGTTCCTTTGGACTGGCCCTGAGCTTAAGGAAACAGGAGCTAAGGTCAAATGGTGCAATGTGTGCAAACCTATCACTGATGGTGGATTAGGCCTGCCCAATCTAGAAGTCGCAAATAGAGCAGCAATCCTCAAACACATTTGGGAACTCAAGGTTGAAACCAACTAAAGGATTTAGATCCACTAGTGTAGGACATACCTAATCAAAGACCAATGCTTCTGGACACTCAAAATCCCGCATTCTTGCTCATGGAGCTGGAGAAAGATCCTGCAGCTAAAGCCACTTGCAAAGAGATTGATCAAGCACAAGATTGGCAATGGTACAACTAATCACCTATGGTATGATTTTTGGCTTGACAGAGGCCCACTATCACAACACTACCCCATTTCCACCATCTAAGTAACAGAGGTCTCACCAACTGCAATGGTGAGTGACTTCATTTTAGATAACATATGGTCCTTCCCCCTACTCCTCTCTTCCACAGTCCCTGACCTAAATAACCCCCCACAACCTCCCAATCCCTCCTCACAGGCCAGACACAATCACTTGGACAGCAGGTCCTATAAGAAAATACAACCTGAAGCACACTATAGCAGCCATATCCCAACCATACAATCCAGTGCCATGGTCAAAACTTGATTGGAACTCCATAGCCATTCTCAAACAGAAAATGATCCTATGGATTGTAGTCCAATCTAAGCTCCCTACTATTGATTCTAAGTGCATGTCATACCTTAACTCTGACAATGTCTACCATCTCTGCTCCTCCGTGCCTGAAACACACTCTCATTTCTTCTTTGATTGCAAATTCGTATCTCTAATATGGAGATTCATACAGGACAAGTGTAGATTCTATCCAAGAAACAACAATTAGCCCCAATTCGTTAATTGGGATGCTCACCACTGGAATCAAGCTAACCCTAGAATTGTTGTGTCTCGACTCGCCTTAGCATCCATAGTGTATCACATATGGCAAGAAAGAAACAATAGGGTCTTCAGGAATTCCACTTTCTCACAATCTTCTGTATTGCAGCAAATCTACAATTCAATTGGTGAAGCTTTGTGATCTCGCCACAATGGGGAATTCTCACAACTAGCAATGGAATGGACCTATCCCCAAGCCACAAATCAACCACCATCGATGCCTCCAAACATATAGATGAAGGTAGTACGCCTCAGCATGGTTGAAGCCAACCTTGTCACCGGAATTTTCGTAGGGATATCCATTTCTAACGGCCACGATTGTTAGCAACGGCTATCCTCCTCAGTCTGGTTCGGGGCCTTTTGCCCTTGTTTGGGCTTCCTAGTCCTGTTGAGCCCTTGAGCTTGCTGTATTCGTGCACCACCGTAAATGTTTCCCCATGGGCCTTTCTTGGGCCCAAATGTAATCCTGTAATCATTAATTTTAATTATTAGAAGTCAACTTGCACTAAATTATCCAAATTTGTTTTATTTTCGCAACGGGGTGGGGCGGGGCCGGGGGTGTTAAGAAATGCTTCCAACACCCAATATATGTGTGTATGTGTGTGTGTGTGTATATATATTTAAGTTAAAGCAGTTTGAACAATCACGCACCTTGGTTCGAGTCACTGAAACTTGAATCCCTAACTTCTCTTTGAAAAGTAGGGACATGATATCGCTGGGTCATTCGCCCATTAGTTCTAACACCCAATTTCGAAGAACAAGAAATTCATATCCATTTTTATACTTCTAAAATAAATATACAATATGACTAAAATTAACAAACACTGGAACAAGAAATGGAAATAACAATATCTAGACTTAAAATTGGAAAAACAACTTCACTTCGATCTCATCAGCTCACAGCTTCTTCAACAAGAGATTTACTCCATATTTGGGTTCTATATTCAAATGAAGCGCCGGTGTATGGACGTACTTGGGAGACAGGGAGAAGGAGAAGTTCGACAAAATGAGAGCAATCAGGATCTTGAGTTCAACCTTGGCCAAATTCTGTCCAAGACACACCCGGGGTCCGACCCCAAATGGCATGTACAAGTGGGGGAGCTTGCATGCACCTGTGATGCCATTCACAAACCTGTCTGGATTGAACTTATAGGCATCAGGACCCCAATTTTCTGGGTCAGTGTGCAATGTCACCACCATTGTCCACACATTGACACCCTGTGGGATTTGTATGTTCCTGAATTTCATGTCCTTCAAGGCCTCCCTTGAGACTACAGGTGCCGGAGGATAAAGGCGCAAGGATTCATTAATCACCATTGTTAGCTGCAAATCAGTATCAAAATTTACAGTCAGTAATGTGTCTCTGTGCTAGAATTTTTGTCAAGAATATATTTATATGATTCAATTTTATTTGCTTAAACTCAAATTTGCTGGCCTAGGTAAACAATACAAGAATTTCATGGACTCAAATTTGTTGAATACGTATTTTATGCATAGTGGGGTATATAATTTTCTTATAAAAATCATGTAACATAATGTAATTTTATTTTGATCATCTAGTAATATATACCTGTTTCATCTTCGGAACCATATCAGCGTTTGGGATTTTCCCCCCGCAAACCTCAAGAACCTCAGCGCGAACACGGGCTTGCCATTCTTGATTTGCAGCCAAAAGCACAAGGCACCATGTTGCTGAAACTGCAGTGGTCTCATACCCAGCCAAATATATATTCTTGCAGTTGTCAACAATGAACCGATCAATTGCATCTTGGCTCAAGTCACTATTCTCAGCACCTTCAAGAACCATTTGCAATAGGTCCTTCTGGTATCCAATTTCCTTCCTCTCTTTCACTAACTGTAGGATCAATGTGCGGACCTCCTTCTCCAATGCCCATGCCTCCCTATTGCTCTTGGTAGGAAGATGCCTGCGAAAAGCATTTTATAAAAGTTAGACAATAAACTCAATTTTTAATATTATTTTGCACAAAGTGACTGATTCAAAATAGTCAGAATTTAAGTTCCACGTACTTTTATGCACCAAACAGTTTAAAGGGTACCTCATGCCAGGGATTCCAATAGACAAGACTTTCTTGGATCCAGCTTCTTGGAGAGCTCTAAGCCTTTTAAAAATCTCCTCCCCCTTAGAAAAGTTGCTCCCAAAACAAGCTCTCGATATTACGTCTCCCGAGAAGCTTCTCATGTCCTGGTCGATTTTTATGTCTGCGATTCCACCTTCAGCTTCAATTCTACTCTTCCACGAGTTTAAGAGTGTAATTGTGGACTCGGTTATAAGGTTCATCATTCCCTGCAAGAAATTTTAAGTTAAATCTCATTATTTTGTGACCTAAAAAAGCTATTATCAACCTAATTAAAGTGTATGTATAGATTGATATATCATACCTTAACCTTATCCATGTATAGTTCAGGAGCAAGGATTCTTCTCTGATGAGCCCATACAGCTCCATTAGAAGTTAGTATTCCCTGGCCAAGCAAAGCACCACGTTCTTTGTGTTGATATGAAGGTTTTCCCATGTCCAAGGATGTGCATGTTGTTATCTCTCTCACTGTATCGGGCTCATTCACATGTACTATTTGTGTATTACCAAGTGAAAACATAAATACTTCACCTGAAAAAACATAGAATTGGAACATTTTCAGTTAATAATTTTCCTGTGTATGAGAAGGACATTAATGAAAAATACAAGTTAATTTGTCAGACTAAAGACATGCAGATGAAGTCTAAAATTAGCAGACTTCAGTGATCATCACTTCGGGCACAATATAATTTGAGGCTTTAGTTACTTCAATCTTTTTATTTCTATTTTGTACTTTTCAGTGAAGTTATGAAACCCAAAATACAAAATTCTTTTTTACTTAAAAATAGCAAATATAGAAGAGTGCAAAAATACCAAAAGATGTAAGAGAATAATAAAAATTAAAAAAGAAAAAAGAAAAGAAATAAGAGATGAAATGAGACGATCAGAGAGAGAGAGAGAAATGGAGAGAGGTTTTAGTTCTAAACACTTTAATGAGAAAATGAGGGGGAAAAAGTGAGGAGAAATAAGGATAAAGAATAAAAAGAGTAAAAATAATAAAAATTAGAAGTTTAATAGAAAAGGTAGGAGAGTGGAGAAAAAATAGTGATGGATGAAAATAAAACGTGAGAGGTGAAAAAAATTAGCACTAGTCTGGTTGGTACAAGCTCTTCACCACAAGACAAAGATTAGGTGTTCGAGTGAAGGAGGCACCGATGCGGACCGTGATCATGTTCAGGAATTTGTTCAGTGAGCATGAACATGGTTACTTTACTACAATTATTTTCAGGTTAATTTTGTCACTAAATCATTTTTTTTTTCTCGCTCTCCCTAACTTAGGGTGCCATGACCATTCCTTTCAGAAAATTGCAACTCAAAACCCGAGACTGGAGCCAACTCAGTTACTCTATTGGGAGGTTGACTCGATGATGATGAAAAAAACAATACATACCATATTGCTTCCTCCATTGCTCAAAGAAGGGAAAGAGAGCAGCCGCGCAGTTGTGGTAGACCGGGGGTTCGGCGCTGGTGGCCCAAGCGTTTTCAGGACCATTTCGGGCCTTCGTGATCTCCCTGTTGTTCCCAAGTAGAAAGGTTGGTGGCGGCCCACTGATCCCCTGCTTCCTCAGCATCGACCGGAGCCTCCCTGGCTTCGCCACCAGTGAATTGTACAAACGTACAAACAATCCTACTGCAGCAACTAAACCAAGTGAAATGAACATCTTCACTAGGGTATGGACTTCCATGGCCAAAACTCTGTTTCTTTACAATAAAGCTGTCTCCTCACGCACTACACAACTTCTTTTTTATTGGGGAGACTTGGCTTTCTCATCTTCCCACCTCCAAGGCCTTTATATAGTTGGTGTTGTATGATATTTTATTCCATTATGTCACTCTCTATAATAATAGCTGAAACTTGAAAGACTATGGAAATATTGTACTAGGAGTTTATTATATTTGGTAAGAAAATTTCGGATTATTTGAAACTCCATTATACACACCTATGTACCCCTTTTTTTTTCTTTTTCTTTTTCTTTTTAAAACAAAGGTTACAAGTATTAAAAGTTAAATTAATAGATACATAAAGTCAAAGTCTGTCACTTCAAAATTCACTCGAGGTACTAACTCCCTATATTATCGAGTCATCTGCACACACATATGTACTAGAGGCTCTCTTTTGGTTGGTATGAATTATTGATCAGGGCATGTGACTTTCAATAGGATAGACTTTAGCACAACGAGGATAATAATGCAATGTTGAAGTGTTGTAATTTATTACTCCATCCGTCCCAAAATAAGTGTCATACTTTCTTTTTTTGGCTGTCCCAAAATAAGTGTCATACTTCAAAAACCAATACACTATTTTTTGAATATTCCTAATATATCCTTTGTCTTGAAATTATAAAAGTTATTAAAACTTCTAAAAAAGCTATTGTGGACCCCACAATTCAAATTTAAATTGAGTCAAGACAAACAACTTTTGTACCACTCATAAATTGCTACAAGGGCATATTAGTAAATTCATCTCATACTACTATAAAAAAAATCATAAAAAATTACACTCTTAAAAAGTTGTATTCCCTATAAGCGACATTCTTTGCGGGACGGAAGGAGTACTTTTCTGTCCCAAAAAAAATGTCTATTTTTTTTTTTGAATTGTTCCAAAATAATTGTCCAATCTCCTTTTTTAAATATGTAATTGTTAAATTAAAAAAGTTATAAATAAAGATAATGACTTTTAATAAAATAGATTCAATTATCTGACCTAAATTCCTTTCTCTTTTTTTTCCACCGTGTTTGATCAGGTGAGACCCTCATATCAGAAAATTAAGTATTCTATGTCTTCTTATATCTCATATGTGCGCAAAATAAATACCTATTTAAGATGGAGACTTGCTGCTCCAGAAGAATCATAAATAATAAAGATATGTTTTGTAAAAAATTTAGACTAAAAAAATCACATGTTTCATGTAATCATGTGTAGGGTCACTAATAAATACTAGGTATGTATTTAAGATGGAGACTTGGTGCTCTAGAAGAATCATAATCGATAAAGATTTGTTTTTGTAAAATATTAGACTAAAAAATCACATGTTTCATGTAATCATGTGTGTACAGAGTGTGGTTACTAATATAGACATGATTTAGACTTTTGTTGATATGCATATCCATACGTATAAATAGTGTTAGTGGCCCATATTTATTATTTAATGAAATTAAAGTCTCATAATTTAAAAAAAATTAGAGATATGAAAAAATACTGTTTATCCTCATTGAAATACCACTTTTGAGTATATAGGTACCACTTTTTGTCATTAGGTAACACTTTTTGTGTTGCACAAAAAAATGATAACAAACAGTAATACTTATGGGAATAAAAATGGTATTTCTATGTCCAAAATAAAAGTATTACTTGATGTATAAAAGTGGTACCTTTGTGCACAAAAAGGGGTACATGTGTGCTTAGAAGTTATACTTCAATAAGGTAAATAATATTTTTTCATATCTACGTCAGCATTTTGGTCAACTTCATTTTTTTTTAAATTATGAAACTTTGACTCCATTAAATAATAAATATGAGTCATTAACACCATTTATGTGTAATAATTCCAAAATAAATTTGTATATTAAAATTCAAGAACTGAGAGTCTGTTTCTTCTTTAAAGATTTTAAAACATATATATATATATATATATATATATATATATATATTTAATATTGTATTCGTTTCTTTGTACTATTCCTTTTCATTTTGCAAATATTATATTTAGTGAGCAATCTACATAATTAAGATTGTGGGTTCTGTTGGGTTAACCAAATTCTTGGATTAAAAACTTTAAAATATGCATAAAATGAATATAAAAAGTAAAAATTGTATACACACTTTAATAGTATATTATAGTATTGCAATGTTAAATATGAATTTATTTTTTCTTACTGTATGACAGCTGCAATTAGAATGGGAATCCATATGTCCAAACAAATTATGAGGATGGACCATTTATTGGGCCCTCCAGATATAAAATTTAGAAATTAAGCATAAAAAATGGTCAATATTGGCCCACCTCCAGTGGCCTTAACATATGAATCTCTCCTTCCGAGTCACTGAAGTTGACAGGTGGAAATTCAAATGTGACGTATTTATCACCCTAAAATCAAATTTATTTATTAATTGTTGGCTCAACCATTGAATTGAACCCTCCTTAAAATGATCGATTGAGGTGTGTTCATCTGATATTGCATGTGTGTTTATAGGGAAGAAATTTGAAGATGAACGATGCCGGCAGCCTAATCCTATTCCGATTGAATGCCAGCTGCCGCAGCGGTGCCTAGAACGATTTTATAAATCCTTGTAAAAGCACTGGTATGGGGTGCATTTCGCAGCAATTTATGTTTCTTTACTCTATTTTTTTTCCTCGAATCTATAAGGAATTTGAATTTATTTTTTATTATATATATATATATATATATATATATAATTGAAAATTGCAAATAATTTTAAGATGATATACATCTGTTGCTTTATTTTTTATTTTATTTTATTTTTCTCTCCCCAGCTTTCCAGAAGTTTAGGTAAAAATAAAATTTCAAACAGGGCTTTCATATTTATTATTATTATTATTATTTTCGCAAAAAATTTAAGTTAGACTTGACTTGATCAACATTTCTTAATCCAAATAATAAAAAAAAAAAAACATTTCTTAATCTAAATAAAGAGGACTTATTTTTTTTTTTTTTATAAGTAAAAAACATTAAAAAAGACATTCAAAAGGGGAACGCGTCCTAATTACAAAAGTGGAATTGGGACTAAGGCCCCAAAGAATCCAAGAAAGTAATTAAATCATCAGAAGAAGAACAAAAGCTCCTCTTCACATAATTGAAAAGAGAACGAAGAATGTAAAGTTTGACCATTGCCGTAGATGACTCTTTCCCTTCGAACATTCTGCTATTTCTCTCCTTCCAAATGCACCACCATACACAATGTGGTACAAATCTCCAGAAATCGCGAACATCTCTTCTCACTCGATATCCTCTCCAAACATGAATTAATTCCTTAGTAGATCATGGTATAACCCAACACATGCCAAACAACCCAACAATAAGATTCCAACAGTCGTTCGCCATAGGGCAATGCAAAAGGAGGTGATCAACGGACTCCTCATCATCCTTGCATAGACAAAACCGATTAACAATACAATTGCCACTTTTTCTCAAGTTATCAATTGTCAGAATCTTTCCCCACACAGCGGTCTAGACGAAGAAAGCCACCCTAGTTGGAGCCATAGACCGCCAAATAGTTTTCCACGGGATGTCTCGATTAACAAAATTAGACAAACATAAGAACAAGGATCTAACTTCGAAACGACCGTGGGAAGAAGGGACCCAAATCAAAACGTCATTATCTCTACCAACGCCCTCTTGCCGATACAGAAGATCCAGAAAAACACATACCTCATCCATCTCCCAATCTTGAAAAGAGCGCTGAAAATGCGCATCCCACGTAAACCTGCTGCTATCAAGCCGATAACAGTCAACTATGTAGGCGTGTTTATCAACAACAATACTAAATAATCTAGGAAATGTACGAGAAAGTTGCTGATCCCCACACCAAAGATCTTCCCAAAACCGAATGCGACGACCATCATGGAGTTTGAATCTGATATGAGCAGAAAAAACATCCTATCCCTTCCGAATAGCCTTCCACATCCCTACTCCTCCCACCAGGGTAATCGGACGTGTAGACCAACCACCATCTTCTTCCCCAAACCGACAAGAGACTAACCTACGCCATGGACGATATCTTTCCCTCCCATATCTCCATAACCATTTACCCAGGAGAGCTTGATTGAAAGGAACTAAACGTCTTATACCAAGTCCACCCAATTTCACAGGCTTACAAACTTCCTCCCATCTGACAAGGTGGTACTTGAACTCATCGCCCTTTCCTCCCCATAGGAAATCCCTTTGAATTTTTTCAATCCTATTTGCAACGGAACAAGGGATTTGGAACATAGAAAGAAATAAGTGGGAAGGCTCGATAACGTACTCTTAATAAGAGTAACTTTACCCCCCTTTGACAAGTATTGCTTCTTCCATCCTACCAATCTCCTCGCACATCTGTTAATCACGGAATCCCAAGTCCCCACTAACCTTGAAGAGACCCCTAGGGGCAAGCCCAAATAAGGAATAGGGAATGAGCTCACCCTGCATCCAAGGACTGCAGCTAAAGAGGAAATATCCCGAACATTCCCTACTGGGACAAGCATACTCTTTGCCACATTGACCTTTAGCCCAGAAACTGCCTGAAAACAAGTCAATATACACCTCAAGTATTGAAGTTGAGACACATCAGCATCACAGAAAACCAGGGTATCATCTGCAAAGAGTAAATGAGAAATCTCCATCTGATGGACTAAATCTCTACCCACCCTGAATCCCTTTATAAAACCAAGGTCCTCAGCCCTACGCATAAGTCTGTTTAACCCTTCCTTAACAACAAGAAAAAGGAAAGATGACAAAGGATCTCCTTGTCTTATACCTCGAGAGCAACCAAAGAAACCAGCGGGAGAACCATTCACAAGAACTGGAAACTTGACAGACAAAAGAAAGGTTTCAATCCACGTCCTCCATTTACTTCCAAACCCCATTCTTTGTAACAAATAGAGTAGGAAATTCCAATTCACATGATCATATGCTTTCTTAATATCAAGTTTGCATAAAACTTCAGGAATACCACTCCGCAATTTGGAATCCACACATTTGCCAGCAATAAGAACTGAATCAAGAATTTGCCGTTTGCCAACAAAAGCATTCTGGGAGTCCGAAATAATCCTGTCCATTACTTCCCTCATCCTTAAAGCAAGCACCTTAGCAATAAGTTTGTAAATACAGCCCACCAAACTGATTGGACGAAAATCCTTTATATCTGAAGCGCCCCCCTTCTTTGGGATAAGGGTAATGAATGAAGCATTAAACGACTTCTTAAAGACGCCATAAGAATGAAACTCCTGAAAAGTATCCATTATTACAACCGCCCAACTTTCCATAAAAAATCGCATGGTAAAGCCATCAGGCCTTGGAGCTTTGTCCCCATTACAACTTGATAAAGCCTTAAGAACTTCTTCTTCAGTGAAAGGATTCTCAATCCTAT